AGTCACTGGGATGTTGGGTAAGAGGGTAGGGTTTGCAGCAAGGTTCGTTTTGGTAAACGATAAGCTGAATTGATGTTTAAACGATAGGGAGGGGTTACTGTATAAATAAATAAAAAGGAATGATCTCAGCCAAATAACCAAGTGGAGCTGCACCAAAAGGAACCGGCCAAATTCATATAATATTATAATAAAATAAAAAGTAAATAACAATGATAAGCTATTTGATACACCTTCTGGTCCTTCAGGATCTACAGGACAACTTTTTCTAGAAATGAAAATTATAGTTATATAATGATAGTTATATAGTGATATAATGAGATTTTAAAAATGTGAAATAAAACTAATTTACTAGTCATGCAATACATAAAATAATGTTAAATAAACAAGTATTACAAAATACAAATAAGCTCGATTTCAGTAAACCTCAATACATTCAACTGATTTCAACTTCTGATATTTTATTGTAATTGAAACAAACACCCTATTATGCACCATGGAATTTCTTAACGCAATATGGAATGCTTTTTTAAAATATTGGTAAACTTTCATAATGCATCAATAGTCAGAAAAATCGAAGTTATTTGGACAGTTTACAGTTTTTATGCAATTGTTATCATGCATTCCAATGTTTTTTTTTGTATTTTCCTGAACGAAGGCTGAAAATAGTGAATCATTATAATATTAATCTAAAAATGTCGAAGAGCTGAAAATAAACTTAAAGATTTAAATCAATGCGTCCAGCCTAAACGGAGGGCTCGCGAACACAATAAGCTTCCTCATCACTCATATTCAGAATTTGATTAAATAAGTATTTACAATTATACAAATAAATATATCAATAAGTTATGTAACTTTCTATCCTGGAAAGGAAAAATTAAAAGGTTAATTTCACTGTCATATAAACGTTAAACATACATTAGAGAAAATTAAATGATGTTACGTTGCTTCTTCCAGTTGTGTTTTGACCCTGTTATAAATATTTATCAATGAATATTTAATAATAATATAATAGGACCTAGGATGTATTCAAACTCAAACTATATCAAGATGGAAATAAAATCATAGTGAATTATTCGTATACACCTAACCGTAAAAAGCCGAGGAACATGCATCATGCGACCGTGGTCATCACTCTGACAAATGAAACGATGAACGATGAACATACATAAATCTCGAATACTCCCCAGAAGGGACGCATCCACTCCCGCAAACAATGCATCCCATCGTCAATCCGGCGCAACCAGCATCCCGCCCACGCATGCCAACACCACCATCAGATAGGAGAAATTTTCCCCTACCTGATGGCGGCGCCACAGCGCGCGGGCGAGCCACCAACCACACCAAACCGACAACCAAACGCACTGCCCACAAAAGCAGACACGTCCCCTCGAAAATGCAATCGAGAAATGTGTAAGAACAATCTTCAATTGGAACATACTCACCAAATCAATACATCCGGGAGCGCATTCGTGATGCTTATCTTTCTCCCTTCCTCACTTTTCGGTGTGCGTATATTGTGTGCGAGAGAAAGAGCGGGCAGCTAAACGAACGAACGAGCGACACGAAGTCCACCGAAAACCGCTTCTACTTGCTAGCTATCTGCTGGAGCAACGAGCAAGTCGCCACCGCCGCCGCACCCTCATCAAGCAGGCCGTAGAAAATGTCAAACTTTTTTTTCTGTCCGCCCCGATGCTTTTCCTCACTCTTCTTTTCTCTGACGATTATCCACACACACTAATGCAAGCGGGCGCGCTCACACACTTTTGCTGCCGCTGCCGCCTGAATAAATTCGAACTTTTTGGGGAGCAGCCGCCGTACAGCGCGCATATAGAACATCATCATCATTGTGCGGGGAGCTTACTTTTTTCTCGATTCGTCGCTCTCGCTCTAACTCACACACGACACACCAATCACTCGTTACTGCGGGAGGGAGTGCGGACACTCTCGACCAATTCAAAGAAAAAAAAAATGGTGTAACAATCTTCCACTCCTTTCCCGCACACCCGACGCAATTACTTCATTCGCGCACTTATCCACTAAATTATTACTTCTATATTGAAATAAAACAATTTTCTCTTTTTTTTCTTTGTACAATATTGTTCTTGCTTCTGTATGCACTCGGCGAAAAATTCGGCTCGGAAAATGACCGTAAAATAATAGAGACGCGGAGGGCACAATCTGCTTTTCGTTGGAAAATTTCCTTTTTTTCCTCTCTAGAGGTTGCCGCTGCTAAGCTGAGATCGAGCCGACCCGACGACTGCCATGGCGACCTTTTTCCTTCGCCTTCCTCGCAATGCACGCAAACGAAACGCGACCGAGACACACTCTTGCTGCTCTGAGGCGAGGGATCTCAGCCCGAAAAAAAAACTTTGTGGTCACTTTTTACCGTCGAGCGGTACCTTTCCGGGTCGGAAAATATGCACAAACGGTTCGCCACCGGATTCCGCGACGGATGAGGATAATTTTGGCCCTCGCCGGAACGGATTTCACTCGAAATTTGGACACTTTTTTGCGAACCGCGCGAGACCGAACTTCTGCCTTCTGTCACTCACACTCGCTCGAGCGCGGAAACGGCACTTCTGATCGAAATAACGTCTGAGACAAAGTTTTAGAGAAAAATATAAAATATATTTCTTGGAAAAATATGCAAAAAAAAGTGTTTTGAATTTTTAAGTAAAAATTAAAAAAAAGTTTAAAAACCCGAATATTTAAAATATATATGTTCGATTCTTGAAAAAAAAAATCTTAAAAAAGCTCATGAAAAATGCAAAATGTCTTTCTAGAAAAAAAAATGTACTAAAAATTGTTGCAATAATTTTAAGTAAAAGTTCTCAAAAACTGTTAAAAACTTAAATATCTCAAAATGTCCTTGTCTGATATTTATTTTTTTTTTTAACTTTTGGAATGTTCAAAATCATGGACACTTGATAAATGAAAAAAACCGTAGAACATAAAAATTTGATAAAATTTTTGAGCCTTTTGTTACTACGCTTTTTGTGTATTTCTGTAAACTATTTAAAATGTTTCAAACATTGTTTTCTGAGAATAAATTACATGAAAAAACGTTTTAACAAAAAGTTCAAAAATTTAACAAAACTTCCTGTTTCACGATTTTTGTCAACTTTTAAATGTATATGGTTTAGAATATTCCAAATTTTACGTTTTCCATTAGCTTTTTCTTTTAATGAAAATCAGACAAGGACATTTTGCGATATTTAAGGTTTTATTTTTTTTTACTTAAAATTACTACCACATTTTTTTTGTATATTTTATTCTAGGAAGACATTAGCATCCATCAGACGTCATTTCGATTCACAGCTGTGAGTAAATCCACTTTTGACGAAAGGGAGTAAAATTGTGCATGAAAAAATAGAAAGTGAGTAAACTTGACTCAGCCCGTGAGTTATTTTTTAAGTCCGTGTAGCACACGGGACACGTGAGGACAACATTATAGCATTAAAAAGAGAGTAAATAACAATAATTCTCTCGTGTTGCTCTTCCCGTCGTTGTTTTTGTTATCAACATTGCATTGGATCACCAATGGATCGTTTATTTTCAACATGCTGCACGTTCCTTCTAGTACCTGACTGGTTGTGCTGGTCAGTCGAGTGTATGAGTGTTATGGCGCTAAAACATGTTTCATCGTAACGTTTATTCACGAAAAAGCCAACAAAATGAACCATGAAGCAAATGGTACGGACTGCCATGCCACACCGTGACCGTAGCAGCCATACTATGCCAGTTACAAAGAGTAGCAAAGCTAACAACAACAAGAGCAGAATCGCAGTCATTGCACGAGGCTGATGTGTATAGTTATAGTACGTGTATAGTCACCGTTGTTCGTTGCTTAGTGCTGGTTTTTTACGGCATGTCCAACTTGTGGTAAAAGTTGCAATGAACTAGTGAATGTCGGTCACGGATACAGGATATGTAGATGTTTCCGGGAACAAAATTTACCTGATAACTAGTGGCCTTTAATCAACAACTTTGCTATTATTTTTACCGAAATTACACTGCCTTTTATAAACTTTTAAGTTTCAATGCCCTAAAAAGTCTTTCATAATCACAGTATATATTTAGAAAATACAGAAAGTTTGCTGAAGTCGTTTTAATTCATAGTTAAATTCATAGTTGACTTTCAAAATTAGCAAGTAGTATTTTGTACTGTAACAATCAACCTATTTAGTTGACATTTTACCGCTGGGTAAATGCATCACATGGCAACAAACAAGAACAACGCAATCCAACAAAACGTGTCACCAAGTGAACCAACAAAACATCGACAACTGCCCCTACCTACCACTAACATTTTGGAATAAGCTTCAAACACGGGGGGCAGACAAAAGGAAGACAGCACAACTGCAAAAAATGAGACTGACGGTCGTCACGATTTTCCACGATGAATAGCATGTTTCGGGTTCTTCTTCGTCATTCTCCACGCTCTGAACGTGGCTTCGAAAGGCCATCCAACTTGCAAAAATCCAAATGGCACGCGGACGCGATATCTGTCGACTCGTTGGCCTATTATCCGCTGGGGTAGCAGTTCGCGAATGCTATAAACCTTCAAAATCAAAACAATGCGGACCACCCTACACGGGCCTGACATAGCTTCAAATGCAGTACATACACACATACACGCCTCCGCGCCGTTGACCTTCTACAGCGTCCAGCAAGCAGAGGGGGTTATAATGGCTTCGCTCTTGTTCGAACTGTTGGGGGGCACTTGTGCTTGTGCGTCCCGCCCCACTTTGGGGCTCTCTTTGTTCTTCTCTTGACTTGCAAGAAAATAACCAGTTTGAGAGAAAACTTGATTGTGCGAAATTTACGCGTGAATGAATTCAGGTTCAAGCATCTTCGGAGCGCCACAAGAGGTTCAACGTTCTACCAGACCGTCACAATCTGCATTTCATTTCCAAAGGCTTTACATCACACGATTTGCATTAAGCGAAATTCAAGTTTCAAAATAACAGCCATTAAATTCATATCAAACGCGAACTTACCTGTTGACATGTGATGAACAATGCAATCCACACGAAGATCCCCGCTAGACCTTGAGCGGTTTTTGTTTGCAGAAATATACCGTCACCAACGTGACTAATCAGTGGGTCGATGCCTAGTGCTGCGGCCTCCGTTGGGTGAATGATAATCTTCGGACTGACGGTACTTCCATTGATCAGATCCGCCGGAGCCATCACCGGTGGATGTTCCGTGCTGCTCATGCTGCTGCGCTGCTGTAGATCTTTGCCACCGTTAAGCGAGCCAGATGCAGTGCAACAACTTCCCAAAGTAACAGGTTCTTCACCCTTATTTCACTTCCACTATCCCAAGACCACGAATTGACTATTATAAGCTTCCTTCTCCTTTTTGGGATAGTTTCACACAATGCAGTAGAGAATAACCACCTTTTCCTCACTTGTTACATTTAGAACACACTTCTCCATCAATTGCTCCTTAGAAACGAGATCCGTGCAACACACTTTCACTTTGCTTCTTCTTCTTCTTAATCTCCGGCTCCTACCTCACAATGCTTTTGATTATACTGGTGCTCCAATTGCCACTAAGCTTCCACTGTTGATTGCCTTACCAAACCTGAAAACTAAAACAAATTGAAAATAAACCCCCTGTAATACTACACAATCTGCTCGAGAAAAAAATAAGATCACTATTAGTGCGATAACGATGAGCGTTTGCTCTGGCAGAGAATGTGTATTAAAGAAGATTCCACTCGCGAAACGAATAAGACGAAAAACGCCACTTGGTTGCGCGACAATAATGGTGGGAAAAATGTCTTCGCCGGAGTTTTCACTTTTCTCTTCGCGTGCTGTGAAAACTGTGATGCAAGTCACTGGAACGAGAAAGAGAATGGAGAATTAAGTTAGTGGTTTATGCTTGAAAGGGAAGATGCAGGTATGTACAGTGTTACAAACAGAGCCCAAAGCTCATAGGCTGACTTTCAGGTATCAATGATTATGACTCAACTTAGTAACGCAATCACAACATCTCGACTGTCTTTGTGGATGAGTGTATCAACGCCTCCCCGCTTATAGCGACACGATTTCTATTCGTTTTCACCGAAAAGTTTACAGAAAAGTAAAATTGTCTTACAGTGTTGCATAAAAGATATGCGAAATCTCCACTCAATTACAACATAAGCAGGTTTTGTAATTTGGTCGCCGGAAGACTTTTCAAATAATTTAATAAAATTGATGTCAGCAAATTAGAAAGCTAGGTCTTGTGTTCATACCGAAATTGGGTTTTTGGAGGGCCTACATGACGGAGGTCAGGAAGGAGATTAACGAGCATTGTCAAGCATGTCAAGGATAAAGAGAACGTCCACACTAGGATCAAGCAACTTATGACCACAGTGTACAAACAAATCAGTATCGCTACACTTATTTTTTGATTTGCACTCCAGTATAGTCGACAAAGACGTAGTTCTACGTTAAAATGAATTGAGAATTGTCCACCTATTTTATCCTCCAACAATTTAACCAGTTTATCCATTTCGACCTTTTTTTCCATTTAAAACTTTTGTCCACTTCAACCTTCTGTTCATTCGACCTTTTGTCCATCTATGTTCAATTCGACCTTCTGTTCACTCAAACTTTTGTCCCTTCGACCCTTTGTCCAATTCGACCTTTTGTTCACTCAAACTTTTGTCCCTTCGATATTTGTCAGTAGTATGTTGTAAGTAACACAATAACATTTCTCGTAAGAACCATGTTAAGAGGATGCAAGAAACCTAAACTTACTTTTGCTGTATTATACGTCGTTTGGGTTGCGCGAATGACTGTTGTAACCAGTAGATATAGAGATACGAAAAAGACGAAAATTTCCGGCACAGATTACTCATCAGCTATCGGAACAGGTACTTTCAACGCAGTCAACCAAAGTTGTAAATATCAGTGAACTGATAACAAAGCTATATGCTACCTCTGACCAAACCGCCCGCTCAATGGCTGATAACAGGGTGCTACAAAACATGGGTAGCAGTATACATGTACATTGCATACGATCAATAGCGTGTCACCACAGCTCCGAATTATAATTTGCGAAAGTGACTGAATTTATCGAACTGAACATTAAAGTCTCTCCTCGCTTGACGTCCGTTCGAAAAATTCAAAACTTGTCCGTGCAAAGAAGGTTGCATTTTCGTTGAGATGATTTCAAGCTACTTTGTTGAAGAAACATGTCTCGATTACTGTGTCTTTAACAAAACAATCTAATAGGAGGAATGGCTCTAAAGCTGGCCTAGGGATCTAAGAATGGGCCAATCGCTAAAAATCTGCTGTTTGCCAATTTTATCTAGATTAACGCGTCATTTTAACGGTACTATTGGATATTTTTGGTCGCTATTGAAAATTTAATCGATTGCTGAATTTATGTATGGGCCCAAATTACGGGAATTTAAGTCGACATTACATCCATTTCCCCTATAATGTCTTTATTTAACACTTTATTTGTTCTAAATTCAAATGAAATTACATTGCTTTTTAATCGACTTACTCAGTAACTTACCAGCCTTAATTGTTATGATACATATCTAAGAGTGTTTACACTGTTCCTGCTTTGGCGATTCAGTATTTTAAACAGGGTTTCTATACGTGCATGTCAGTATAATAAAATCTAATGTCTTGATTACTTTTTCAAAGAGACGTATCTGCGTTTGTAGCCAAAGGTTTAAACGTCAATTTGTCGATACTATTAGCACTCCCACGCAAACTATAGCACCGTCTTGTTTGGGAAACATTACCATTTCCAGGGTGACCACTGAATTTGAGAAATATAATCCCCGTTTTTACCCGGGTGTCCAAAATATTTTCCCGGTTTCATATAAACGGCTAAATATGTTTGAAAAGCCACTCGGCCGAATGCTACAGAGCCGTATGGGTCATTAGACCGACTAGAAAGAAGTTCTATATTCAAGTGATAGATTGAACTTTGAAATTATTTTAGAAAACAATGAGATCAACGCAATGACATTTCCGATCTCGGATTAAGATTGTTTTTGAAGATTATATGGAAAAAAAAATAAAAAAAAGTCTTTGTCAGTTTTTTACATTGTTTGACTTTTCAAGATCTGTAGTGAGTATATTTAATTTGAAGAATTATCTGGCATAACAGGTTTGCTAAGTCGTAAAAATTTAATCGGATTTAAGCTGAAAGACTAAGGAATCGATTAAATACATTCAGATGAACCAGCCTCTGGCTAAAAGTCTCGCTAATAAAGATAACCTAAACTAACATTAAATACATTCAGCGATGAATTTTGGTAAGAAAATACAGCGAAATTAACGTTTAAATTTTGGTTACCGAAGCCTTCATATACCCTAGTTGAGTTTACAGTGAATTTTGAGCATATTTCCAAAGATATGCGGAGTAGCGCACCAGGATACTTCGAAGCGTGCCGGAAATTTCCAAGGAAATTCAAAGAAGAGTTTCTTGTGAATTCCAAGAAAATTTCAAGATATTCTCTTAAGGGTATTTTGAGAAGAATTCCCATGAAAGTTCCCTTGCAATGCTGAAGTAAATTCCAAGGAAATTCTGGGAGAATTAATTCAAATGGACAAACCACGATTTCTGAACAATATTCCAAATGAATTTCAAAGATAATTAAAATTGTATAGTGAATTTCAATAGTTTTATTGAGGGAAATTCCTAAAGTGTTCTGCACAGAATTCCGAAACTGTTATAGAGATAATTTATAGGGAATACCGAAGTGAATCATAAGATTATAGAGGGAAAACCTGAAAGTTACTCTGAAGATATTTTTGAACGATCCTAAGTAAATCCTAGAAAAATTTCAAAGATATTCAGAGAAAAATTTCAAATAAATAAATTCCCTTAATTTGGGCCCATACATAAATTCAGCAATCGACTGAATTTTCAATAGCGACCAAAAATATCCATTAGTAGATTTTTGGCGATGGGCCCAATCTTAGATCCATAGGCCAACATTAGAGCCATTTCCCCTAGACAATGTAATCCAAACATTATAAATTTTTCAATATCCTGGTCTATGAAAACTGTGGACTAGAAATTTTCGAAAAGTTGACAGTGAGATAGAGTGATAGTCTGAAAAGTGTAACAGTGAGATGTGTGAGATCTCAAACTTGCAAAAATCTTTTATACGCCGAACGTAAATTCTGGAGTTCGTCCTCCGGTAGATCCGGAACATCCGTAAAACTGTTCAATCTATGAAACTGGTCCTAGAGCTCCACGGTTTTTTTTTTTCGAAAACACTTGGAACTGTCATACATAAATTAATTAGGGGTCATGACATAAACATGTACCTAAAAGTCCATTGGACCGTCCTCCGGTAGATCTGGAACATCATTGAAAATGGTCAATCCATGAAACTGATCCTTGAACTGTGATATAAGAAAGAATTTGGGGTCATGACACAAAACATGGACCTATATGGCTATAAGACCCTCCTCCGGAAGATCCGAAACATCTGTAAGTGGTCAATTCAAGAAACTGATCCTAGAGCTCCGCAGTTTTAGAAAAACACTAGGAGTTTTTATGATATAATGAATTTGGGGTCGTGACAAACATGGACCCTGATAGCCATGAGACTGTCCTCCGAAAGATCCGGTACATCCGTAAAAGTGGTCAATCCACGAAACTGATTCTAGAGTTCCACTTTTTTTTTCAAAAGCATTTGAAGCTGTGATATAATAATGAATTTGGGATCATGACATAAACATGAACCCGGATGGCCAAGGGGCCATCCTCTGGTAGGTCCGGAACATCCGTAAAAGAGGTCAACCAATGAAACTAATCCTAGAGCTCCGCAGGTTTTTCAAAAACATTAGGAACTGTGATAAAGTCTGGAACGCGCAAAAATTGGTCAACTTCAAATTGTTAAAAATGCATTAAAAACCTGAAATGCTGCATTTGGAAGTTGAGTGTATATATCACCGTTTGCTCTCCAGTTTTCAAAATGACGTCCAAGCAAGAGGAGCAGCGTGTCAAAATTTTGCTCGCGCAGCAAGAAAATCCGACGTTCTCACACGCCAAGTTGGCACAATTGCTGGATGTGGCCAAATCAACCGTGACAAACGTTTTAAAAGTGTTCGGGGAGCGTCTGTCGACCGCCAGGAAGCCTGGAAGCGGCGGCAATCGTAATCCGGACGTGACAGCGACGACGAAGAAGGTGGCGGTGAAATATATGCGGAATCCTAACCTCTCTATCCGGGGCGTCGCTGGCAAGCTCAATGTCTCCCATACTACTGTGCAGCGGGCCAAGAAACGAGCCAGGTTGTCGACGTTTAAGAAGATGAAGGTGGCGAACCGAGATTACAAACAAAACACGTCGGCAAAGCAGCGGTCCCGAAAGCTGTATACGAATCTGCACACAAAGTTCGACTTTGTCGTCATGGACGACGAAACTTATGTGAAGGGCGATTTCAAGCAGCTTCCGGGACAGGAGTTTTATACCGCATCAGGAAAAGGGAAGGTGGCTGAAATTTTCAAAACCATCAAACTATCGAAGTTCCCGAAAAAATATCTCGTCTGGCAGGCCATATGCACGTGTGGTCTAAAAAGCGGCATTTTCATAACTACGGGAGCCATCAATCAAGCGATCTACGT